CCCGCGGGGCGCCCTGCGCGCTGGGTCAGCCGTTGCCCGCCTGGTTCTGCCGATTGGCTGTCTCTCGTTCTCTCGCTCTCTCTCTGATGCTAGTTCGGTGCACGCGCGCGCGCGTAACTTGCATAGTCTGAGAATGATGGCTGCAGGTTCTGTGGGAGCTGTGGGTGCTGGGTGCGGCCTTTTCGGGTCTGAAGCCGCTGGCTCGAGGCCAGCGGCCAGTCGAGTGCCCAGTCAAACAGCTTTTCTTTACCTTTTTTGGGCTCGTGGACCGGCTTTGAGGCCGCTCCGCGTGCCTGAAATCATCATTCTCTTCCTTCTCCTCTGCGTCCTCCTGGCTCCCTTGTGTTGGTTCAGTGCACGCGCGAGCACAGAACCTCCGTCCCCGACTGCAGCACTGTCTGCCCCTACAGGGAGGTCGCGCCACTCCGCGCGGGGCTTCATGTCCCTCTTGGCTCGTCTCCAGAAGCTCCGTGAGCTCGTGCCCCTTCCCTCCCGCCCTTCCGGCCGGACCCCCCCAATTCGGCCGGGCGCCACTCCCGGGAGAGGTGTTTTGGCCTGGGCATGTATTTCACACGCCGAGGGCATCCCAAGGATTCGGCGGCCTGTGGCAGTGTTGTGGAAGGCTTTCTGGACGCATTTCTGGGAGAAACCCTTAGTAAGTCCATGCAGGTGATTGTGTACTGATTTTTCAGGTCTTCCGATTGGCCATGTCGCACACTCGAATGATCGTGCCGCGTCGGAGACGGAGGTGGGACTTAGTCCGCGGCATTGACAGGCACGCTGGAGGAGGAGAACTTCAGATCTGCGCCCATCCACATTTACACATTCTTCGGCATGATCGCACTCCGATTTGGACGTCGCCGTGGACGTTGTTCATTAGAGAGAAGGGCGTCTGCCCATCAGCGGCCGCCGTCGATTTTGGATAACATTTGCTATTTGTGCATCGTACCCAATTCTTTCCGCACCAATCTCGGGCGTCCAAAGTTACGAATCAGAATTTTCACTCTCCCCCTGACTCAGTCCGGCAGATCGTTGGCCCTCTCCGCGTATCGACATATGATTTCACGCGCTGTTTTTTCCTATGGCTCTGGACAGTCCGATGGCATTCGATGCGTCAATATGGTGCTCCCGCTGCAGGGTGGGCCTTATTTTCCTGATCGGTGCCTTGCTCTTGTCGTTCGGGATTCACTTCTCTGGATCCGAGCGCTTTCTCATCGCTGCCGCCCCCTTCTTTCCCCTCCTCCGCTTTCCCTGGTTTTCCTGCTCCTCCCGGTTCTTCACTGCAGCTCCTGCTGCTGCTGCTGCTGCTGCTGCTGCTGCTGCTCGTCCTCGTCTTCCTGCTCCTCTTCCTCCTCCTCTCCTCCTGCTCATCCTCCTGCTCAACTGCCACCTCCTGCTCCACTGTACGTAGCTCCCTTTTTGTTCCGCTTGCGCCTAACACGATGTGGCCCTCTCCCGAGCTTCAGGTCTGTTATAGCACGCGTCGGCGGATGGAGAAACGACACCGCAACGGGAAAAGGGTGGGTGGGAGGGGTAGGATGTCAGATACGGCGCGAGCGCGCCTAGCTTGCCTTTCAGCACTTCCCCTCTCCTCTGAGATCCGCCTCCCAGCAGAGGTGCTACAAGGTCTTCATCGTGCTGCGGCACTCGCTGCGCAAGGACCAGCTCGCATGCCGGGGGGGCCAATGACATCGAAGGGGTCCTGGAGGAACTGCTCGGGTTGGGCCTTTCTCGCAGTCTTCGCGGTCCCGAGGCCCCTTCCCGTGGCCGGGGGCCATCCAACAACGAGTCAGCACGAACAGCTGGTCCCGGGGAAGGCCCCGCGCCTGGGGTCCGTTTCTGCCAGGGGCCCCTCCTTCGTGCCAGCAGAAGGGGCATTCGCAGACTGTGCCTCCTCGTCTTCGTCGTAGCTGGCTGGAGCCTTCGCGGGTTCACAGGAACTTGACCAAGCAGGGCTAGCAGTAAGAGCGGTAGCATACTCGTTTTTTCTCGGTTCTCCGGTGCCACCGCCGGGCTCTTGTATGGCCGTCCCCCCGGGACGTCTGACCGGCGCCTCGGCTGCGGCCTCATGCCGCAGCTGCCGCTGCCTCTCGCTGCCGCCTCCCGCTTCTGCCGCAGGTCTTGGCCGTTTCTGCTTCCTGCTGCTTGGCAGTGCCCCTCTCCCCCGAGCACGGGTTCGTCGTGCACCCGCCTCTCCTGCGCGTGGTTTTCTGTACGCAGGATCACGAATGCAGCTTTTTCCCCGAGCAGCGAATGCTGCGAGGGGTCTGCGGTGCCGTGCCGTGCCGTGCCGTGCCGTGCCAGTGTGCCGTAGGCTCTGGCATGCGAGCGATGTGCAGTGCCGTGCCTAGGTTCGAGTATGCGAGAGGTGTGCCGTGTCGTGCTGTGCCCGCGTGCCGTGCCATGCCGTGCCTGGGTTCTCGAACGCGGCAAACGTGTAGTGCCGTGCTGGGGATTCACAATCGGGGATATGTACCGTGCCATGGCCGTGCCCGCGTGCCGTGATCTTGAGCCATCCTAGTGACCATCTTGGAGCATCGGAGGCCCTCTTTGAGCCATCCTTGGACCATGTTGGGCGCTCTAACTCCTCCGTTCGGGACCCGAAAAACCTCTGGGAGGGGAGGGGTGGGTACCCCTCTGAAGGGGAAGAGGGTTCTGGAGGAGGACGTAGAAATATCGCTAGGCCACCTACGCCCACAGGGCTGGTGGGATCCAGTGTCACATTCAGACAGTCTTGCGGCCTCTTTGGGCTGGCTCGTGGCTGTGCTGTGGTCATCTTGCGGCCTGCCGCCCATAGGTCCCCGCTCTTGGGCCGCTCTCCGGCCCTCTTTAGGGTTCCTCCTGGGGCCCTCTGGCGGCCCTCTCAGGGCTCGTTCGGTCTTCCTCGGGGAACCTGTTGGGGCCACGGGAAGTCCACTGGAGCCCGCAATGGCTAGGGAGAGGTTATCCAGCTGTCTTGAGCGAAGTCTGCAGTCGATCTGGCCGTCTTGGGCCAGCTTGGGCCGTTCGGGCAATCCTGGTGCCACAACTGGGGTCCTGTGAGCCAATCTTGGCGTCAACTGAAAGTTTGACGCCCGTCGCCCTGTGCTCTTTGGCAGCTCAGTGGACGGCTCTCTTGGTGACCTCTTGCGGCCGTCTTGGTGGGCCTTGTGGCCCTCTGGAAGCGCTCTGCGGGCTCTCCCAGGGCCGCTCCAGGTCCCGAGAAGCCCACTGAAGCCCGCCAGTGCGCGAAGGCCAAACACAGCCAGGATCACACGGACTTTCGGTGGCTTGGGCCTTCCTGGGGGTCTCCGAGGGGCGCACATGGTGCCATATTGAGGTGTCCTTGCAATCCAATGGGCCGTTTCGGGCTGTACTGGGCCATCTCGGGGCCACCATCGTGCCATCTGGGGATGTCTTGGGGCCATCTCGGGGCCATCCTCAGGCCTGATGTCAGCGCTCTTGGACCGCTCGTGGCCCGCCTTTGGGCTCCCTTCGCCGTCGGAAGGCCGTCTTAGGGGATCTTGGGGCCCACCTAGGGCTCTCTTGGGCCCCTCTTGGGGCCACCTTGGGGCGGGAGACGCCCGTCGGGGCCGCAGAGGCGAGCCGGCAAACCACGTAGAGGCAGCAATTTCGAGACGCTTCGTGTGTCTCCCGCGGCCCATTCAGAAACGATGCCAAGGCAGCTGCATTGATCAGGTAAGCGCAGGAGCATGCAGTAGAACAAAGTGCGGGGGGCAGCCATTAGATCAGAGCAGAGTCAGCAGTGAACCACATATGCCATCGCGGCCCTGTCGAATGATCATGATAAGGAGGCGGAGGAGGACGGATGAGGAGGAGGAGGAGGTGGGGGGAGGACGAATATCGGGGCAATTTTGGGGCCCTCTTGAGCCCTTTTTGGCCTGTTGGGGCTCTTTTGGGCCATCTTGGAGCAATCTGGAGTGCCTCAGCAGCCCTTGGAAGCGAAACCTAGGGGCGCCCTCACGACTCGTCCTTGAACGCCTTGTCGGGGGAGCCTCCGATTCCTTTGTGTCCTCGTCCTTCGCCTCCTCGTCTCTTCGTGACCATCCCCTCCTGGACTCTCCCGCGCGCCCAGGACTGCTTCAGCGCCTTCGCCCTGGCCCTCGGCTGCCTGCTGCTCCACGGCGCCCGCGGGGCACAGGGAGCGGGGTCGCGCCCAGGGGGTGGCCACGCAACGAAGGCAGGCGACGGAGGAAGGGCCTCCCTCCGCCTCTCCCTTCTTATTCCTCCTCCTCCTCCTCCTCCTCCTCGAGTCCTCGTCCTCCTCCTCGAGTCCTCCTCCTCCTCCTCCTCCTCCTCCTCCTCCTCGAGTCCTCGTCCTCCTCCTCGAGTCCTCCTCCTCCTCCTCCTCCTCCTCCTCCTCCTCCTCCTCCTGTAAGCTGTGAGCTGATGGCGTGAAGTTCGGTACCGATGTCGCCCTCCCCCCCAGGGCCGGTCGGCCCTAGGGGGGGTTGATCAAACGAGTGCCAGGCAGCCCCTGGAGCACCGCTCCTCCTCCTCCTCTCCTCCTCCTCCTTCTCTCCTCGCCCTCCTCCTCCTCCCTCCTCCTCCTCCTCCGTCTCCTCCTCGTCCTCCTCCTCCTCCTCCTCTCCTCCTCCTCCTCCTCCGCCTGAAGTCGCAGATAATGCTTCATTTTTGTAGCGGCAGCTCCCTCTCACGCCTCGGAGAAGGGCTAGTAGAGTAGCCCCGAGACGAACCAGCTGCATGCCGCTGGCTCACTCTGTCATGCACCCTCTCATCCACACTCGCACATTCACTCACACTCTCACTCACTCTTTTTCGCCCGACACGCCGACTGCACCAGTCAGCGGGAGACAACTTTTGGGGGACGCCCTTTAGGAGGAGGATGGGGAGGAGGAGGAGGAGGATGAGGTGGTGGGAGCAGGGAGAGACGGGACGGGAGGGCGAGAAGGAAAAGCGGGAGGGCATGGCTGATGCAGGGCGCACGGAGGCAGAGGGAGGCCGGGGCGAGAGGGGGGAGAGCCTGCTGGGGGGGGACATAAATGGCAAGGACGCCCCTCCTCAGGCGCCTGGCCCGACGCCGCCGCGCCCGGCGTGATGCTCCACCTGGCCTCGCTGGCTGCGTGGGTCGGGCCGCGAACCGCCTGCCCGCGGGCACTCTCCCCGGCCCTCTGAGGCCACCGCCAGAGTCTGTCCGCACGCGCAGCCTCGGGGTTGTGCCCCGGGATCTCGAGGACCTCTCGAGGAGTCGTGGGTTCTCTGGATGGGACAATAATCGCACCCCCCCCCTGGATCCGCTGGGGGGGTTGGGCACGTGCTGTCGGAACGGATGGAGGGGGGTGGGAGGAGGAGGAGAAGGAGGCGGAGGCGGATGAGGAGGAGGAGGAGGAGGAGGAGGAGGAGGAGGAGGAGGAGGAGGAGGAGGAGGAGGAGGAGGAGGAGGAGGAGGAGGAGGAGGAGGGGGGGGGATGGGAAAGCTCCGTCGGAAGGTTAGGCGCCCACTCCTCGATTCATATCCCACCCAGAGTATGGAATCTGCCCGTTCCTGCCTGCAGGGGGAAAACATCCATGCGCACCGCTCCCCAGGGATTCGGGGCAGCACTCCAGCCGCTGTGGATGTGGCATGCTTCCTGGAGGAAAAGCTCCCAGGCGTCGCGAAGGAACCATCACGACTGGCTGCTTCTGGGGGGTCTCGCTCCGCCTCATGGGGGGGTCGTCGTCGGTGCACGGCCCCCTCCCCGGTTAGAGAGGCCGGTGTCCGCCGCCTCCCCCCCTCGCTTTTGTGGGCGCTTCAAGTGTTTTGGGTGGGGGCGCGGTTCCGACGTGTCCAGGGATTTTTGTTTCCAAGCGAGCGTCCACGCAGCGCTTTCTCTCCTTCCGTGCGATGCGCTTGCCGGGCCAGGTGGATCTTGGTGGGCGTGCAGACGAGCCCCGTGGTCTCATGCGGCCCCTGCGATGACTAGAGGGACGGGAGGAGAGTTGAGTTCTTTGTTATGTATCTTTATTACAGAAAACAACCTTTTCATAACCCTCTGAGCCATAACGCGCGTTATGCCCCCTGCCCTCCCCCCATAAACGTGTGACGCTCCCCTCCTCAGGGCGTCCCCAGCACTGCCGCAGTGCGCCCAGCACCACAGTCTGGGGGGTGGGTGGGCTGCTACGTTGTGCCCCCTCCCGTCCCCCTCCCCTCCCCCCCCCCACAAAGCCCGTTATGGCCGCGCATAAAAAAATGTGCTTGTCGCAACTCGGTCAGTCCAGGCCTTGGAGCCGTCTGGGGGTCTGAGATGGCCCAGCACTGGTTCTGGCTAGCAGGAAGGGCGGGCAGCTTCGGGGCTCTGGGTTCGGGACGGTCTTTTGCCAGTTTCGGCGTCTTGGGGGGCTGTTTTTGGGCCTCAGGACTGCAACCAAAACGGACACAGTATGAAAAACTGCACCAGATGGACCCGAGGAGGGTTCCAGGAACCGATTTTGAATGGTTTTTACTTCCACCCCGCCTCCCGACCCATTTTCTTTGGGGTCCCAACCAGTTCAGACCCCCCGGCCGCCTCCAATCTAAGCATGGTTTCCGCATTTTGAAGTTTCCTTGTTTTCTCCTTATCTCTCACTTCCTTACGATCTCACGGTTTGCCAGGTTGACTCAGTAGTTTCACGCTTGCCCTATCGTGATGCGTTGTCTTGAGTTGTCCGCTCCCCTTGGCCCCCTCCAAAAAAGTTCGTTGGAAAAGAGCTTGGCCTGTCCAGCAGCATCGAAGTATCAGTCTGGCAGCTCTTCTCTGGCCCCCGTTCAGTCAGGCGGGGGGCGGATAATAGAGACGGTGATGATTGTGAGGCGGAGGTGGAAGAGGAAAACCACCAGTAAGAGGACGAGAGGCAGGAATAACATGACGACGATGATGATGATGCTTATGAAACTGCTGCTGCTGCTGATGATGATGATGATGATGATGTTGTTGATGCTGATGATGCTGCTGATGATGATGCTGATGCTGATGATGATGATGCTGATGCTGATGCAGATGCTGATGCTGATGATGATGATGATGCTGATGCTGATGCTGATGCTGATGCTGATGCTGATGACGATGATGCCGATGACGATGATGCTGATGACGATGACGATGACGATGACGATGACGATGATGATGATGCTGATGATGCTGATGATGATGATGATGATGATGATGATGATGCTGATGATGATGCTGATGATGCTGCTGATGATGATGATGATGATGATGATGATGATGATGATGATGATGATGCTGAGGTTAATGATTTCATGAAGTTGAGAATGAGGAGGAGGAGGAGGAGGAGGAGGAGGAGGAGGGAGGAGGAGGAGGAGGAGGAGGAGGAGAAGGAGGAGAAGGAGGAGGAGGAGGAGGAGGAGGAGGAGGATGGGGAGGAACGGGAGGGAGGAAGGGGTGAGGTGGAGAGATGAAACGCACGGAGGAGGAGGAGGAGGGAGGACGAGTGGGAGGACGAGGGGCGGGGAGGAGGAGGAGGGGGCGAAGGAGCTTGCTGGATGGAGGGGGAGGGAGGGATGGGTCCGCGACTGCGGTCAGGCCTGTGGGCAGGCGGGCGGAACCAGATGACCAAGATGCAGCTGGGCTTGCGGATCGCAGCGCAGGCTCGCGTGCAGCGGCACTGGGCTCGGCAGTCAGCATGGAGAACGATCTCCTCCCCTCCCTCTCTCCCTCCCCTTCTCCCTCCTCGTTCCTCCCTCCCCTCCTCTTCTTCTGTCTTCCAGCCTCCTCTGTCATTGCTCCTCGCTCCTCCCTGCCCCCTCCTCCCTCTTGATCTTTCTTTCCTCCCTCATCCCTTCTCCCTCGTCCTTCGCCCCTCATTCCTCCCTCGAGCCTCTCTCAGGCCGCATTTTGCACAGGGCCCGAGTGAGCCCAGCACCAACACATCGGGCTCGAGGGGTTCGCTGCAGCTGCAGACGTTCTTACCGCGCGGCTCGACAGCCAACGCGTATCCAGCGACCGGGCCATGCCCGAAGTGTTGCCACTGGGTGCCCGTGTATCGACCCCGTTCTGCTTTTGCGCGAGGGTGGGCCGATCTCGGCGTGGCCGCCAGGGCCGGGATCGCAACCTCGGCACATCCTGGCAGGACGCCGCCGTGGTGAGTGGGCGGGACGCAGGCCAACAATCAGTCCAGCTCCGCCTCGGGCCACCTGCCGCGGTGAGCTCAGGAGGGAAGCGAGAAGGAGAAGGCCTTCTCAGAAGGCTCGGAAGTCCCCCAGCCTTCCGAGAAGTCTTATGAGCCTTCCCCAGAGACAGCAAAACTTCACAGAAGGCGCGAAGGCTTCTGAGAAGTCTCCCCGCCTTTGAGCAGGCCCTCTCCTTCTCACTCCCCGCCCATCACTCGCCGCCGAAACGGGCCATCCAGGTCAAGGCTACCGGTGTTCCACATCCTGATGTCCTCCTGTCGGCCAGCCAAGAGCCGCGGGGGGCCTTCCCCGCCGCCATGACCGCCGTCCAGCAGTCCACGATGTTTTGCGGGCCGCCGGCAGCATGCATGCGCAGCTCGTCCTCGCAGAGTTGAAGCTCGGGGGGAGCTTCTGCGTGGCGGGAACGAAGGAGGCTGCCGCAGCGCGCGACCTCGCCAAGGCCGAGGCCCTGAAAAATAATGCCGCGGATACCTCCCGCTCGTGCGGAGTGCATCAGTCCGGGTAGCGCGGTGGGCAGAGACGAAGGCGGTGATCCCAAGCATTACATGGACCACCTCGCGTTTTCCGCTCAGCGGAAAGATGAGGTTTTCGAGCCCATCGACACGCTGGCGTTCGAGGGCGCGGGGGAAGACGTGGTGCAGGAACGCCAGGGCACTGTTGACCGATTTGTACGATGCGCCCGGAACGAATAGCACCCAGGTCCGAGCGCTAATCGTTAGGCCAGGGCGGTTCAACGCACGCTGACGGAGAGACTGAAGACGACGTGCAAGGGAGTTGATGGCCTGCCTTCCCGATGCGCCAGATGTGAGCAGAGCGGCGACACAGGGCGTAGCCTCTGGCTTGGAGACCCCTAGCGCGCCGACTATTCCCGCTCCTGCGATTGCAGCCACGCGACCAGCGTAGGTGGCCCCTCCTGCGAAGTCGACCGCAGCGACGACTTGGATAGCGACTCCGTGTAAGACCCAGCGGCGGCAGCCATCACATTTCTGCCAGGCCTGCCGCGCGCTGAACAAGGCCCGCCCCCAGTCGGTGCGCCCCCCGGTGCGCTTCAGTCGCGTCCTGGATCAACTTCGCACGGGCTCCCGCTGGCATGGAATTAATGAATGGCTTCGCTCATTCCACCGGCCTGTATTGTGCCACCGTTGGCGTTTGCGTGCGCGTTCGTGGGCCATGCGGCGCTGCTGGTCGGCGCTGCTGCGGTTGTGGGTGAGAGACCTCAGGGTTCTCGGGGGGCTCCCGTGTAGCAGTTTTAGTGGCTTTTGGGGGCCTCCTCGGGGCGCCTTGGATGCCTCGGTTCTTTTTCCTTTCTCGTCCTGCTTCCTCCGCCTGGAAGTATTGTCTGAGCCGTGACCAGGCGAAGCGGCAATGCATGTCATGGCCTTCGGCCCACTTCGCCACCGTGCAGGGTTTGTTGGGATGCCTGTTGAAGGGTTCTTGGAGCTTCCGAGGAGCTTTTTTTTGGAGGCCTCTTGCGGCCTCCTGGGCGCGTCTTGGGAGTCACGTGGGGCCTATTGGGAACTCCTCGGAGCCGGGGGCGATTTGGAGGCCGAAGGCCTATTGATAGTCCTTCGGAGGCTTAGGGGGTGGCTCTGGGGGCGATTTTGAGGCCGAACGCGTGAAATGTCCGTTGGGGCTCCCCCCCGAGGGGCCTTCCTTCAGGTGTCTTGGGGCTTTCCAGCGTCGTCTTGGGAGAAACTTGGGCTGTCTTGGAGTCCCCGTGGGTCATTTTGGGGCTCTCTTGGAGGCCGAATGGGCCGTCTCGGAGCGATTCGAGCGTCGGCGGCTGAAAAGGTGAAAACGCTGAAAACCCGTGGAAAACTGATGGGGAATCGCTGAATTTCGCTTATTGGGGGCTTCTTGGGAGTGGTCTTGGAGGCGTCTTCAGGCGTCTTGGATGCGGTTGAGGCCGTCTGGAGGCTATCTTAGGCATCTTGGAGCGACATCCGGTGACTCTGGGTCCTCCTAGACCGTTTTGGGGGCCTTCTGAGACGCCCTTTAAGGCCCTGAAGGCAGCCCTCAGGAGTTCTGGCATCCGTGACGGGAACCGCCCGGGACTTGCCCGGGGGCCGCCCAAGATTTGCATGGGGTATTTTTCGTCTGGGCTCCCGTGGGCGTGGAATCAATGAGTTTCGTTTAACCGATCCCTATCCCCATCCCCATCCACATCTCGAGCCCCACCGTCTCACTACCTGGGTTGGGGATATGCCCTTCGAAACCCGAAAAGAGCAGCCCATATCCCCATCCACGGGGGTAAATCGGCCAGTGGGGCCCAGCCCAGCCCATGCTGGTGAGGATCGATTAAACAATGCTCAATCAATTTTTGACGCTGGTGATGTCTGTCCCCACCGCCCTCACCACAGGAGGGTCCCTCACGGGCTGGGTGGCCGGTCAGGGCTTCGTGTCCCCGCATCGCAACGTGGGTGATCGCCCCCTGGCGCTGTTGCCCCCTGGTGCCTACTCTCCGGCCACGCTGGCGACGTTCATCCCCGCCAGTCTGGCTTCCTTTCCGTGCTCCGCGCGGCTCTCTGCGACGCTATGTCGTGCGTGCGGCCATGGGCCGGGCCCACGGGATTCTCCTTCGGGCTGGCTCGTTGACCTTGCTCGGGACTAGTGGGCCCCACTGGATACTGGCGGTCGCCTCGGAGTGGTTCAGCCTTCCGTCGTACGCAGGGTTCCATCCTGGCTCCGTCCCAGCCGACCAGGCAGGTCTACGCCGTCGACAAGGCCCTTGCCCAGCTTACCTGGCTGGTCTACGCCGTCGTCACGGTCTTGGCCCTTGGCGCCCCCTGGCGACTCGACCATCGTATACCTCGCCTTTCCCCGCCACCATGTTTGATAGGATCGCACGTGCAGGTCACCCACCTGTCCCAGCTTGCACGTCCACCTGTGTGGTCTGACGCCGCAGCGCGTAAGGCAGAATTACCTGGCACTTTGCTCAGGGCTGCACGTTGCTCGAGCTTCCCTGGGCGTTCCAGATCAGCCAGCCAGCCCCCGCCCTGCTCCCCCAGCTGCCGCCTTGTGAGCTGGCCCGGCCAGCTTGTGTCGCGCCCAGTAGCTAATCAGGCTTGCCCGTTGGCCCGGACACCCCGTTCGCCGCCTGCGCTCTTCTCTCGCGGCCGCGACCGAAAAAAGTATTCCCACCAGCTGCTTCTTGACTCGCCGTTTGCGCTTTCGCTCG